GGCCCCTTCCTAGTAACACTGAAATGGAATGCACGGGAAGTCAATGGAGGACACTGGTCTCCCTCCAAGGTCACTTTTGTCAAGGTACCTGGGGGAAGATGTGAATCCAGAAATGTACAGGCTGAGACCTGCCCCCAAATATCAAGGAGTAGGGAGGGACGTGTTGAAACTAGGGCTAGGGGCTGGGCATGGTAGCTTACGCCTGTAATTCCAGTACTTTGGGAGGCCTAGCTGGACAGATCACCTGAGGTCAGGAGTGTGAGACCAGCCTGGCCAACATAGAGAAACCCCGTCTCTACTAAAAATACAAAAATTAGCTGAACAGGGTGATGTACACATGTAGTCCCAGCTACTAGAGAGACTTGGGCACAAGAATCGCTTGAACCCAGGAGGTGGAGGCTACAGTGAGATGAGATCGTGCCACTGTACTCCAGCCTGGGCAACAGAGTGAGACTGTCTCAAAAAAAAAAAAAAGGAAACTAGGGCTGGGAAATAGGTCAGTCTTTCTCCCAAGAGGAGTAAGTGAGGCGGGAGGAGGTTGGGAATGTTGGCCACTGTGTGATTATCTGAATTGCAGCTACAGTTGTCCCTGATAATATCAGCTGATGGGAGTCCATGGACCCACAAGAGCTGTCTCTGAAGTCATGGTGGCTAGGGTAGGGGGAATCAGCTTGCTTGATGGGTAGATGACAAGCTGACACTTGGCTTTAAGAGTAAAGCTTCTCAGCTGGGCGAAGTGGCTCACGCCTCTAATCCCAGCACTTTGGGAGGCCGAGATGGGTAGATCACCTGAGGTCAGAAGTTCGAGACCAGCCTGACCAACATGGTGAATCCCATCTCTACTAAAATACAAAAATTAGCTGGGCGTGGTGGCGGGCACCTGTAAAGGAGGCTGAGGCAGGAGAATCACTTGAACCCAGGAGGTAGAAGTTGCAGTGAGCCGAGATCATGCCACTGCGCTCCAACCTGGACAAAAAGAGCAAAACTCCACCTCAAAAAAAAAAGAGGGAGAATCTCTGAAAGCCAGTGAGGTTAGTGTAGCAGTCAGAAAGTGTCAGGTTATGCTGCAGTAACAAACACTCCTAAAGACTACATGGCTTACAACAGCAAAGGTTTATTTCTTGCTCATGCTGCTTGCCCGTTTCAATGTCTGTGCTCTCATCCATGCCATCTTCACTCTGGGACCTGGGCTGGCCAAACTACCCCCATCTGGGACATTGCCAGTCTCATGGTGGTGGAAGGTGACAGATGGCAAAACTACCAGCTGGCTATTGAAGCTTCTTTCCAGAGATGATGTGCATCCCTTCCACCCACATTTTGTTGGTCAAAGCAAGTCACAAGGTCACCCTGGATATAAAATACTACCAGAGAGAGGCACTGCCAGTCAGACATCAAGTGTGATATCAGCAAGACAGGGAGGTATGATCCACCCAAGGGAGGGAAAGCAAATATTTTCAACAATAACACAATCTACCACAGGTGGGATCCCAGCAGGGGTATGGTTTATGCAAATCAAGATCCCATCAAGCAGGATCAGACCCCTGGTGGGGCCTTGTGTGCCACACAGAGATCTCCCCACTGCACTCCAGCTCAGGTGGGCGACAGTGAAACTCTGTCTCAAAAAATTAAAAAAAATAATTAATAAATAAACCACCTAAAAATTCCAAAGGAAAATTTAGGAGACCATATGTATAATTTGGGAGCTGAAGAGACTATTTTAATCAAAACAAGAAAGCCAAAAGCTGCAAAAATAAAATTACACATATCCTACTACATTAAAAAGTAACATTTTGTGGGGGAAAGTTACCAAAACAATGCAAAGTAGCGGCAGAATTGTTTGCAGTCTGAATGACAGACAAGAAGTTAATATCTGTAATATACAAAAAGCATTTACAAATGTATATTTAAAAAACACACTGTTCAACCTGATCTTCATGGACATTATATAGTTAATGCCTCTTAAGATACTTTCAGGATCACAGTATAATTTTGTTGGTTTTTGGAGTCCTATAGTATGTTTATGATATTGGAATCATAGGCAAAATGTTTTTCAATAATTTTTTTCAAACTTCTGTTTTCGGCCAGGCATGGTGGCTCACACCTGTAATCCCAGCACTTTGGGAGGCCGAGATGGGTGGATCACTTAAGTCAGGAGTTCGAGACCAACCTGGTCAATATGGTGAAACCCCCGTCTCTACTAAAAATACAAGAATTAGCCAGGGATGGGGGTGCACACCTGTAATCCCAGTTACTTGGGAGGCTAAGGCAGGAGAATTGCTTGAACCCTGGAGGCAGAAATTGCAGTGAGCCCAGATCGTGCCACTGCACTCCAGCCTGAGCAACAGAGTGAGACTCCATCCCACAAAAAAGAAAAAATCTCTTGTTTTCGTGTGAAGTTTGTTCCATGTGTATTTTTCTCCAATCGGTTTCTCTCTTTCCTTCTCTTTCCGTCCTTCCCTGCTTGTTTCATGCAAGCATCATGATTCTTAAGATAAAATCAAATGCTTAATTCACACTTGCACAAAATCCCCAGGAACCTAAGATCACACAGGGACATTTCAGAAAGCAGCCAGTTCTATTTTTCACGTTCTTACTGGCAGTTTCATTTATGGCCACTGCTTTAATGCAGTTTCTAAGAATTTATCACACCCTTTATGATTGAATGCAAACACCCCAGCTTGAGAAGAGAAGCAAGAGAGGGAGAGAGCAAGAGTCTGCCAGTTTCTGTTTACAATACGCTATCGCTTCTGATTCTAAGGAGGAAAAATAAGCTCATAAATTTAAGTATGGAACTTACCCTCTTAGAATGCTCACATTAAGAGTTATAAATGTTAACATTTATGGATTTATGAGGTTTTAAAAAAAAAACTCAAAGCTTGTGCAAACATTTCTTATACGGTCATTGTTTTCCGAGGATTGCGTAAACGGAAGTTCAAGTCAGCTTGAGGATTTTTCTAGAGGTTCAGCAAACTCATATCAAATCAGGGAAATGGGGTCTTTCCTTTCTCTGATTAATTTAATTTCTTCTGTCTCCTCTTGTCTTCTTCCTAGAGTCAGGTGCATCTGAAAGTTCTGTGAACACTAGCCTGCCCCATTCAGCGGATCTGGAGACAACTATTGCCCTCCTATAAATACCAAGGGTGCCACTGGCCTGCTCCTTACACCAGACAGTCAACAGTCACCGAGAGCCTGATTGAAGCTTTGGGACAAAACAATGAAGCCAAAAGATGGATTTGCTGAGTAGCAGAGACCGTAAACTGCTACTCTCGGTTTATTTATTTATTTATTTTTATTTTTATTTTTATTTTTTTGAGATGGAGTCTTACTCTGTCTCCTAGGCGGGAGTGCAGTGGTATAATCTCAGCTCACTGCAGCCTCCGTCTCCCAGGTTCAATCGATTCTCCTGCCTCAACCTCTCCAGTAGCTGAGATTATAGG